AGCATTTGTTAACAATTCTATAGTTATATTTTAGAAAAAACACTGTCTTTTATCTATCATCCCCGGGATAACACACCCCCCCCCCCCCCCCCCGACGACGCCCACTAATTACATCGCCTGAATCATGATTAAGGCTTGTTAAGTTCACGTCACGTAAGACAGGTCGCTGATCGTGTTTCAGATCATGGCCCGTCGTAGACATGTGCTGTCGCTGTTTTTGCACCGAAATCGAGCCAAACAAACATAAAAAGTTTGCGATCCCTAAAAGAAATGGCAAAGTTTGTCTGAAGGGTTCGAGAATCGTCACAGCGTGACCGCCGCAGACGACTAGACGTCTGGTAGAGATTTTCAGGAAATCAGGCTTAAAGAAACAAACACAATTCATCACTGGAATTTGAAATAAATGAAAAAGATGTACAATCGTACAGGTATTTATGATCCTTGCAGATTTTCTGCAGTCATTACATTGGAGCCCTATTGTTGTGCTTTTATGACGTAACATTTAAAGTCTTTTCGCGTTAATTAATTTAGTACGATCGAACCTAAATAACTTCACTCAATGTGTCGTAGGTACTAATTATCCGACCGTACAGTTAGCTATTAAAACATCACACTCCTTATTGAAGTATATCAAGCATGCGGAAAACACTTCTGCATTTTTTTTCTTCCAAAAATAGTCGTGTTAAAACCCTCGACGTACAGTTTACAAACCTTTCGAATAACTTTTTAGCGGCTTGATCTCCGGAGTTTTTGTCAGGATGACATTCTTTCGCTTTTTGACGAAATTCTGCATTAATTTGTTCTGTGGTAGCTAGTTCATCACAGCCTAGGAGGGAGTAATAATCGTCCTGTTTGTTTTTGTCACCTAGCACGTCGCATAAGTCTTCCATGGTAAACGTAGTGTATGGTAATTTCACCGCGAAAACAACAACAAAGTTTTTATTTCTGGGGAGGGGTGACAGCAAGAACAGCCTTTGTCTGTCCTCAGACTTGTACTATTAAGATTTAAAGAGTTAGTTCGATCAACATTTCTTTAACATTTTAAAGTTTTCGAACGCAGGGAAAATAAGGATAATACATGTAATAGTGTAATTTCTTAGGCTCATTTTACGAGTTTTAAGACATGCTGGCGCTTTGAGGTAAACCTCCCTCACTACCCCTCCAAGGTCCTATTTTATCGTCACATCGCGAGGTGACTAAGCAATTTATTTTGCAAGATAATGGAGGAAGCGGTTTGTGCGAAGCAGTGATCCTCAAGATTCCAGGAGAAATAAAGTGTTTCTGATGCCAAGAAGAATGGCAGAATGTTCTGAAGGTGGCAGTGGTACTACAACAGTCACTGAAGAAGTAACTGAGAGCCCCACGGTATGTAATATTTTTGATTGAAATTTCCAACTCATGGGGAACCCTGAGCTGAATACTGCTGAATGCTGCTTGCTCGTGGAAAAAAGCTGGCATGATTCACACCTGTTCAATTTGTTTATTGGATGTTATTTTATTGTATAATGATTTAAGTCCAAGTGATGGTAGACATTTTCAGAATTGCTTGCCAAGATAGGCAGTCATAGTCATCCGTCATCATTTAATACTTTGCATTGTAGTATGACAAAAGAGATATAATTCCTCAGGAATATTAATTACTAGATCCAGAAAGCTACATTTTATTATATAGAAAACACTCTCTTTTGTAGTCACTATATTCCCCAAAATGCGGGAAATCGCAGTTTAAGGTTTTGGAATTTCAAAATGTTCTAGGGTAGTACACCCTTAGACACCCTGCCAGGAGGGTCTCTCTCTTGCTTGCTCTGGTTTGGTGTTCTCAAGAAAGACTCTTCATGAATCGAGTAAGATCTTTGCTCAGTATGCGTGGCATGTTGTTCAGATATAGTTTTGAACCCAGCCCTAATAGCCATGTGCTTGCTACCGTGAGCTCAGTTATGACCATTGGTTTATCAATGAAAGGATGCTTGCACTTGAAAAAACCAGGTTGATGAGAGAGAACGAGATTGCCTAGTCCAGAAGTTTGGGTTGCGGCGACCTTAAAAGCTTGACGTGATTCAGGCAGAGCCTACCTTTTGCCTTCCTCACACAATGCACAAGAAGACAGTAAGAGGCTCTGCTTGGAGGATGACACCCTTAGACTGCCCAAGAAGAAGGGGACTAATGGCCCTTTGTTGAAACAGTCGGTTACTCTAGCTTTTCAAATCTGCTGACTAATTCAATTTTTAATGAAACCCCTTATAATATATTTAACCACTTTTTGAGTTCTCCTGTTTCTCAGTTATACCATCAGTGGTGAAAGCATTTTTAACATTATATTTCATTCCTTCATTTGCAGCAACAGCGGCTTTTGCTGAAATTGAAGAAACCAAAGTTAGACAAGAAGGTGCAATGGGATGAAAGTGCTGTCGATAATGAGTTTATGGGAAAGAAAATATCAAAATGTAAATATCAACATATCTTTTGTACAAAGAAAATAGGTCTGCCAATAAACTGCCCCCTCAGTCATTTTAAATAGTAAACCCTCTTAAAACATGGCCAGGTTTGCTATGGCCAGATGGTGTCTATACACAAGTACTCCATTGTTCCTGAAGTTAAACAAAAAGTGATGCTGTTTTTATTAATTAATTTGTGTGATTATTACAGTCGAACCTCGATATGCGACCTCCTCTCATAAGCGACCACCTCCCATAAGCGACCACCTATCCAAAACACCAAAAGTTTCCCAGTCAAAGCTTTACAGTTGGAGCCTCTAGTAAACGACCACCTCCTGTAAGCAACTGCAACCACTTTTTGGGCCTGATGGTTAATCTGATCCCTATTTTCGCTGTGTGCACTATGTTACTTAGAATATACAAAGAACTTTAGTGACAACAAGGAACTACACATATACTAACTTAGACATTGCATGCAATAAATTGTCTTCCAAAAAGACGTGCCTGGACCTCTTCTCGGAAGAGGCTGTCTGTGGTTCGATTCTTGTAATCCACCACCCCCCTTGAGCGACCACTCAGTCTTTGCATTTTGGGTGGTCGCTTATGGGAGGTTGTTTGGGTAGGCAATAATGGCTGACTGCTGTAGTAGTGCCTGGTGGCACCTAGTGAGTCACTTTTTTTGTCTTAGAGGCACAACAAGGACATTATAGCTTTAGCATAAAATGTAAGGTACCCTAGATCAGAGAATTAGACCCTGGCCTTCGCACAGGTTTTCTTGGAGCACAGCATTGACTATAGTCCAACAAATGCTTAAATATTTGGGTGACTTAATTTACCTTAAGTGTATGATTTTCAATCATCCTCATAAAACACTCCTTTCTGTACCGGTTTGACATGCGAAAATCCACCTCAAGAACATGATGTTACGTTTTTGCAGGTTGTTGTATTTATTCCAAACCCAAAATGTTTGGAGACTCTTCTTCTGAGAGNAGAGGCACAACAAGGACATTATAGCTTTAGCATAAAATGTAAGGTACCCTAGATCAGAGAATTAGACCCTGGCCTTCGCACAGGTTTTCTTGGAGCACAGCATTGACTATAGTCCAACAAATGCTTAAATATTTGGGTGACTTAATTTACCTTAAGTGTATGATTTTCAATCATCCTCATAAAACACTCCTTTCTGTACCGGTTTGACATGCGAAAATCCACCTCAAGAACATGATGTTACGTTTTTGCAGGTTGTTGTATTTATTCCAAACCCAAAATGTTTGGAGACTCTTCTTCTGAGAGTGACAGCGATGAAGATGGATGTGCACACAATGCTTACTGCACAGGCCATAAAAAGAAAGGCCACAGAGGTCATCATCATCATCATCATCATCACCATGGTGACAAAGGAGATGAATCAGCCCCGAGTGGAGATTCTGAACAAGGACCAAGCTTTAGTACTTAAATGTATTCTTATCAGAGAAGAGTTTCATTTATTAGCAATATTATTTTAGTAGAAAGTTTCTGACCTGATAATAATAATTATTAAAACTTGTAAATATGGAAAAATTCTGGGTCCAGTTGCTAAACGCTTTCACTGTACATTCCAGCAGCTCAAAAGGCTTAATAATTGGTAACTGATCTACATTATTGGATTTGCTTTCTTTGCAAATTGGCTCTCTGGAGGGCTCAAGTTTGAAATGTAAAGTTTTAACTTTTTTTTTGTATTGGTCAAATTTACTTTATTAAATTCAGTCTATGATAGAACCAATAAGATTGTTCAGGGGAGCAGTGTGACATCACAAAGATTCAAATTTGTGAAATTATTTGGTTGGCACATTCAGAAAGAAGAGATGAAAAAAATCCCATTTGCCAAAAATCAGCCTGGGGGGAGATAATATAAGCACTGTTATGCTCCAATGACTCAGGCCCTGTGGAAGAGAGAGGCATGAAAAACCTATATAGCCTATTGTGATCAGTTTAGGTTTATTGGAAACTACCCACCTACCCCTCCCCTAAGCTAGCATTAACACTTACTTCTCACTTAGGGCAAAATGTTGGCTTAGGGGAGGTGTGGGTGGGCAGTTTCTTAGAAACCTGAATTGACCCGCCTGTTGTAGGTGTTTAGGTATTGGGTGTAATGCAAAATGAGAAATGGGGCATAATATGTATCCCATTCTGCTGTCTGCTCTGTTCTCTTTGAACTGCCTTAACTATTTGAGCTCCTTGAAGAGTCTATAATAAATGAATTTATTTATTCCATACTTCTTTTTCTTAAGGCTGTAAACATTTTGTAAAATAATAAAAGTTTTATGACTCGAGTGCCAGTATTATGATTTAATCAAGTTTAGGTGAGTTTTAAGGAGGTTGGAAATAGCTAAAAGATAATACTGTAATGGTAATACAGTGGAACTTCGCTATAACGAAGGGCCAAGGGAGCCGAGACTTACCAAATACCGGAAGATTCGCTATAAGGAGATTTCATGATATTACGGTTCCTTTCCATATATTTTTCTATTACTGTGGCTCAGAGTATTGTTTGTTATACTGAGGACTTTGTTATATAGAGCTGCATTAAAATTAAGGTTGCATGGTATGAGGAGATGAGAGGTCATCTCTCTAAGACAGATACGTTATACTGGTCCCAAAGGTGTCCATCTGTCCTAGAGGGAGTTCAGATGACTGTATTACGTCTTCACTAGCCTGCCTCCCTGTGCCTTCTCCTCCACCGTTTCCTTGATCAACCTTGGTTCAGCTTTCTCGAGGCTGTATTTCTTACTTTACAAACCACGAAAGAAAAAACACACAAAAACTGCCAGCTAGGCAGGCTACATCTTCACCATCAAATACATATTGTAGTGGGCCCAAAGGAAGTGTTAGTGTAACTAAGCAAGGGAACTTGTGAAGCTTCAAACTTGAATAACAATGAACCAGCCAACCAATTATAACAAACAATACTCCCAGCCATAGTAATAGAAAAATATATGGAAATCTACCGGTATTTGGTCAGTCTCAGCTCCCTTGGCCCTTCATTATATCGAGGTTCCACTGTATTACCATTACAGTATTATCTTTTAGCTACTTCCAACCTCCTTAAAACTCACCCAAACTTAAAATCATAATACTGGCACTCGAGTCATAAAAACTTTTATTTTACAAAATGTTTACAGCCTTAGATACAAGAAGTATGGAATAAATAAATTCATTTAATATAGACTCTTCAAGGAGCTCAAATAGTTAAGGCAGTCAGAGTAGAGAGCAAAATGGGATACGTATTACACGCCACTTCTCATTTTGCACCACACCCCAATCCCTTTTCACCTGTAACAGGCAGATCAATTTAGGTTTCTAAGAAACTGCTTACCTACCCCTCCCCTAAGCCAACATTTTGCTCTGAGTGAGAAGTAAGTGTAAATGCTGGCTTAGGGGAGGGGTAGGTGGGCTGTTTCCCAGAAACCTTAAATGATCAAAAGAAGCTATATAGGTTCATGCCTCTCTCTTCCACAGGGCCTGAGTCATTGGAGCATAACAGTGCTTATATCTCCACAAGGCTGATTTTTGGAAAATAGGATTTTTTTCATCTTGTTCTTTCTGAGTATTCCAACCAATCCCATAATTTCACAAATTTGAATCTTTGTGATGTCACACTGCTCCCCTGAACAATCTTATTGGTTTTATCACAGACTGAATAAATAAAGTAAATTTGTCCACTATAAAAAAATTTAAAAGTTTGCATTTCAAACTCAAGCCCTCCAGAGAGCCAATTTGCAAAAAAAGCAAATCCAATAATGTCGATCAGTTACCAATTATTAAGCCTTTTGAGCTGCTGGAATGTAGAGTGAAAACTATTAGCAACTAGACCCAGAATTTTTCCATATTTACAAGTTTTAATAATTATTATTATCAGGTCAGAAACTTTCTACTAAAATAATATTACTAATAAATGAAACTCTTCTCTGATAAGAACACATTTAAGTGCTAAAGCTTGGTCCTTGTTCAGAATCTCCACTCGGGGCTGACTCATCTCCTTTGTCGCCATGGTGATGATGATGATGATGATGACCTCTGTGGCCTTTCTTTTTATGGCCTGTGCAGTAAGCATTGTGTGCACATCCATCTTCATCGCTGTCACTCTCAGAAGAAGAGTCTCCAAACATTTTGGGTTTGGAATANCACATCCATCTTCATCGCTGTCACTCTCAGAAGAAGAGTCTCCAAACATTTTGGGTTTGGAATAAATACAACAACCTGCAAAAACGTAACATCATGTTCTTGAGGTGGATTTTCGCATGTCAAACCGGTACAGAAAGGAGTGTTTTATGAGGATTGAAAATCATGCACATGAGGCAAATTAAGTCACCGAAATATTTAAGCATTTGTTGGACTATAGCCAATGCTGTGCTCAAAGAAAACTTGTGCGAAGGCCAAGGTTTAATTCTCTGATATAGGGTACCTTACATTTTATGCTAAAGCTGTAATGTCCTTGTTGGGCCTCTAAGACAAAAAAAGTCACTCACTAGGGGCCACCACGCACTACTAGAGCGGTCAGCCATTATTGTGTACCCAAACAAAATACAGTCAAAATGCAAAGACAGTGGTCCCTTAAGGGAGGTAGTTGTTTACAAGAATCGAACCACAGAGAGCCTCTTCTGAGAAGAGGTCAAGGCACATCTTTTTGGAAGATAATTTATTGCATGCAACGTCTAAGTTAGTATATGTGTAGTTCCATGTTGTCACTAAAGTTCCTCGTATATTCTAAGTAACATAGTGTACACAGCGAAAATAGGGATCAGAGAATGCATCAAGTGGTCGCTTACAAGAGCTTAAAAACAATGGAAAATGATTAACCATCAGGTCCAAAAAGTGGTTGCAGTTGCTTACAGGAGGTGGTCGTTTACTAGAGGCTCCACCTTTAAAGCTTTGACTGGGAAAGTTTTGGTGTTTTGGATAGGTGGTCACTTACGACAGGAGGTCACACATGGAGGTTCGACTGTAATAATCACACAAATTAACAGATAAAAACAACATCACTTTTTGTTTAACTTCAGGAACAAAGGAGTACTTGTATATAGACACCATCTGGCCATGTTTTAAGAGGGTTTACTATTGAAAATGACTGGGGGGGGGGGGGAAATTTATTGGCACACCTATTTTCTTTGTACAAAAGATATCCTGATATTTACATTTTGATATTTTCTTTCCCATAAACTCATTATCGACAGCACTTTCATCCCATTGCACCTTCTTGTCTAACTTTGGTTTCTTCAATTTCAGCAAAAGCCGCTGTTGCTGCAAATAAAGTAGGGAAAGACAATGTTAAAAATGCTTTCACCACTGATGGTATAACTGAGTAACAGGAGAACTCAAAAAGTGGCTTATATTATCAGGGGTTTCATTAAAAGTTGAATTAGTCACGAGGTTTGAACAGCTAGAACAACCGACTGTTTCAACAAAGGGTCATTAGTCCTCTTCTTCTTGGGCAGTCTAAGGGTGTCATCGAGCAAGCAGAGCTTCTTTCTGTCTTGTGTGTTGTGGAGGAAGGCAAAAGGTAGGCTCTGCCTGAATCACGTCAAGCTTTTGAGGTCACCGCAGTCCAAACTTCTGGACTAGTCAATGTTGTTCTCTCTCGTCAACCTGGTTTTTTTGTGTGCAAGCATCCTTTCATTGATAAACAAATGGTCATAACTAAGCTCACTGTATCAAGCGCACGGCTATTAGGCCTGGGTTCAAAACTATATCCGAGCAACAAGGCATGCATTCTCAACAAAGATCTTACTCAATTCATGCAGAGTCTTTCTTGAGAACACCAAAACAGAGCAAGTGAGAGAGAGACTCTACTGGCAGGGTGTCTCAGGGTGTGCTACCCTAGAAAATTTTGAAATTCCAACACCTTAAAATGCTATTTCCAGCATTTTGGGGACTAGGGTGCATACATGCCAACTCTCCCAGACACGGCACCAATCTCGTGCTCTCCCATACGGGTCACCAAATCTCCCGGATAAAATCATCTTTTGAGCTTTTCTGTGCCTTAGCTTGTGATTTAACCCATTTTTAGCTCAAAACTTGAATTTTTGTTATTTGCAGTACGGTTTCAGGGGCATTTCTGCATGTAGTTAGTCACTGACATCAAAACGATGATTGCGAATTTGGATAGTATTGGTCAATTTGTCGGAGGGGGGTGGGTTCCGTTGATATCCCTGAGGGTAGTGAAAAAAAGAAAGTCTTCAGATTTTAGTTCTCCAGAGGTTGGCATCTCTGAGGATTACTACAAAAGAAAGTGTTTTCCATGAAAATGGCGCTTTCTGGATCTGTTTATTAACACTCCCGGCCCTGGTTGTTCAAACGTCGGATACCGCTATCCACCGGATAAATCACTATCTAGCGGATAGCGTAATTGATTTCCGTAATACTTATCCGCTGGACAGTGATTTATCCGGTGGATAGCGCTATCAAACGTTTGAACAACCGGGGCCTGATAAATTGTATCCCTTTTGTCAACCTACAAAATCCTACAATGCAAAGTAAATGATGATGGATGATCTTAAAATCATTAAATCACTTGGAGTTGAATCATTATACAATAACATCATATCCAATAAACAAACTGTACAGCTGTGGATCATGCCAGCTTTTTTCCAAAACTTTCCCACTGGCGAGCGAGCAGTATTCAGCAGTATTCAGCTCAGGGTTGCCGTGAGTTGGAAATTTCAATCAAAAATTTTACATACCGTGGGGCTCTCAGTTACTTCTTCAGTGACTGTTGTAGTACCACTGCCACCTTCAGAACATTCTGCCATTCTTCTTGGCATCAGAAACAATTTATTTCTCCTGGAATCTTGACGATCACTGCTTTACACAAACCGCTTCCACCATTATCTTGCAAAGTGAATTGCTTAGTCACCTCGCGATGTGACGATAAAATAGGACCTTGCAGGGGTAGTGAGAGAGGTTTACCTCAAAGCGCCAGCATGTCTTAAAACTTGTAAAATGAGCCTAAGAAATTACACTATTACATGTATTATCCTTATTTTCCCTGCGTTCGAAAACTTTAAAATGTTAAAGAAATGTTGATCGAACTAACTCTTCAAATCTTAATAGTACAAGTCTGAGGACAGACAAAGGCTGTTCTTGCTGTCACCCCTCCCCAGAAATAAAAACTTTGTTGTTGTTTTGGCGTTGAAATTACCATACACTACGTTTACCATGGAAGACTTATGCGACGTGCTAGGTGACAAAAACAAACAGGACGATTATTACTCCCTCCTAGGCTGTGATGAACTAGCTACTACAGAACAAATTAATGCAGAATTTCGTCAAAAAGCGAAAGAATGTCATCCTGACAAAAACCCCGGAGATCAAGCCGCTAAAAGGTTATTCGAAAGGTTTGTAAACTGTACGTCGGGGGTTTTAACACGACTGTTTTTGGAAGAAACATGTTGCACAAGTGTTTTCCGCATGCTTGATATACTTCAATAAGGAGTGTGATGTTTGAATAGCTAACTGTACTGTCGGTTAATTAGTACCTACGACACATTGTATGAAGTTATTTAGGTTCGATCGTACTAAATTAATTTGACGCGAAACTTTAAATGTTACGTCATAAAAGCACGACAATAGGGCTCCAATGTAATGACTGCAGAAAATCTCCAAGGATCATACATACGTGTACGATTGTACATCTTTTTCATTTATTTCAAATTCAAGTGATGAATTGTGTTTGTTTCTTTAAGCCTGATTTCCAGAAAATCTCTAAGTCTGCAGCGGTCACGCTGTGACGATTCTCGAACCCTTCAGACCAACTTTGCCATTTCTTTTAAGGGATCGCAAACTTTCCATGTTTGTTTGGCTCGATTTTGGTGCAAAAACAGCGACAAGCACATCTTTACGACTGACCATGATCTGAAACACGATCGGCGACCGGTCTTACGCGAACTTAATAAGTCTGAATCATGATTCAGGCCATGTAACTAGTGGGCGTCGTCGGGGGAGTGATTGGTTACCACTAGATGTAAGATAGAATGCAGTGTTTATTCCTAAATTATACGATAAGCTTGCTTACAAGTCGCTTCGCTACAAAGTCTATTTAAAAAAGTCTGTCGTGTCAAGTTTGAATGGTCGAGTCTCTCCTTTGAAAATATGAAAGAGTTAATAAAATAGATTCCTTGGCAAGGTAGTTTTAGCATGGGAAAAATCATATCTCCAATACAGTTATAAGGGAATAGTGGGATTAAAAAAGGGCTCTGATAGGAAAAAGAATATTGAGCAAACTTTTTTACAAAGCTTATATACTGGTAAATCCTTGGTGTAAGAACTAGCCACACTGAGTTAAGGAACAGTTTTTTTTTAATCACACATCCTAGGTAATACGCCTTTTCCTCATATGACATACCCAAAAAACCTGTTACCAGGAAGATATTTTGTTGCAGCATCAGATAACATTATTCAAAGTGCATTAAAGGAGTTTTGGCCTTGTGACGTGTCATTGCAATGCATAACCTAGTGAGTGCTAAGCTTATATAATATTTTTCAGAGAATAAAAATGATATTGCAAGACGACCAGTTAAAGAAAACAGAAAAAAAGGTACAATTAAGGCTTGTTGCAAAGTAAACCTTATATTTAGCTTATTGTATTACTGTTTTCAGATTAAAACAGGCTCGGAATACTCTTTGTAATGAAGAAGGCAGAAAAAAGTATGATAAATCCGCGTTTAGACCTTATCGACATGGTATACTTGTCACCGAACTCGACTCACCACGTCAAGTGTGTAGTAATGTAACCCGTCGGTTTGGAAGGAAGGAGCTCATGTTGGATTGGAAGAAAAGTAAGAAAAAATTGACAGTGTTGTCAGATCGACTGCTTCTGATGTTTGTAACCTGATACCTTGCATTCCTTGATAAATCTGACTTTCTCTCTTTCTCTATCAGTGGGATTTAAAAGTACTTTCCATACTAAGAAAAGATTGGCCATAATTATGTTACCCTTTCATGCTTAGCTTTAAGATCTGTAGATGAAATCCCACGGTGTTACCATTCAAATGAAACTTCTTCAGCAGTACATTCACATAGCACTATTTATTTAGTATATAATTCTAACTTTTGAATCTGTGGATGCATTTTTTTCTGAATTATATCTTTGGCCACCAGTTCAAATTCTCAGTAAATTCAAAGTCATTTTAAATGTGATTTTCAGGTGAAGAAAAAAATCTGAATGAATGTTTAAATGAAGAAGAAAATGCAAAACATCGCCGTCTTCAGTCTCCATGTGTTTCCATTCAACATTGTGCCAGGCCACCGAGGAGGTGTGGGTGGAGCTCGATGCGGAGTACACACATCAGCAAGTTTAGGAAATATGAGATTTGAAAAGGAAATTGGCTCCAGAGGAAACCTTCGTTATCTGGTCCTAAAAGTGTCCATCTTTCCTAGAGGGGGTTCAGCTGACTGTATTACATCTTCACTAGCCTGCCTCCCCTCACCCCCTCCCCCATCGTTATTTTGTTTGACCTCAGTTTAGCTTTCTCGCGGCTGTATCTGTTACTTCACAAACCACAAAAGAAAAAAAAAACCCGCCAACTACGCAGGTACCACCTTCACCATCAAATACATATCGTAGTGGGCCCAAAGGAGGTGTTAGTGTAGCTAAGCAAGTGAACTTGCAAAGCTTTGAACTTGAATAAGAATGAACCAGCGAACCAAATGTTTTCTTAAGCAGTTTTATTTTCTACACCTGCAGAATGTCAATCTGAATTGTATATTTTACAAACTCTGGAAGCTGTGTATTTCTCCTAAAACACAATAATAAGTACACTGCAAAAGCCATTATCTGGAATCTGAGATTTTAAAGAAATTTACCACTGTTAATGATGGGAAAATGTCTTGTTAGAGCCATCCTACCTCTAGCTTGGGAGCAAGCTCTCCAATTGTGGTAAGTGAACGCACAAGCGAGCAGTGGACCCCACCCCCCTTGCAGTCACGTCTTCTTTTGAGTGTGGCTCTCGCATGACTTCTCATGCTTACCCCAAATTGAGAGCTTGCTCACTGGCTACAGTACCTTTATTAAAAGAAAATATGACAAAAACCCAGGTCGAAAATTGTGTTGCGATAGATGCGATGACAGAACAAACAAAGGAAGATAATTTGAAACATTACTTACACCCGTCACTTGAACTTGCTTATTTTCTAACTTTACTGAATGTCACAGCTCATTTAATTTCAATGATTGTTTCTTAAGAATGAAAGATCAGCACCAACACAGCTACTAAACTAACAGTGCTAGCGGCCAGTAAAATAAAAAGACATCAGCTTAAATGCTGCCATTTTAGGAAGTTTTTCAAGAAAAATAATATTTTGCATCCAGCCCCCAACTGAGAGGAAAGAGTTTCTAACTGGCCATGCCCATCAGTTCGTTTCTCCATTTTTGGGATTTAAAAAGGATGAGAATTTCCATTTCAATTATTCCCGAGACCAACAAGCTTTAGAGAGTGCTGAGAGGGTGAAGGGAAACAAAAACTTTATGGGCTTGGCTTGACAATTCTAAAACCAGTTCTAGACCGTGCATCACAGAAGTGAGTGGTCCCTGGAGGGGTGGGGTACACCCTTAATGGCCTATACTGGAAGGGTATGCCTAAAAGGGGAACCATTTTTGGCTTCAGGTTTAGAGTAGAGAATTCTTTCATTTTCGTTCTGCAGTAAAATGACCTAAAAGGGCTACAGAGGGATTGCATTTGCAGCAGTTAAAGGGGATACAAAGTTCTAAGCTAGGTATGTGAAAGGCGTACCATTTGTCAGTAGAAGGTATACAAAAGGGTTACCTCTTCTGTCAAAAATGGTATATAAAAGGGTAAGGGGTTGGACCTTGGGGGTGAACCCTCCCCATATAGAACTTTGCTGGGTATCCCCCCTCCCCCCAGTGAATGCTAGCGTGTTAGCCATTGTATTAACCTAAAACAAAGTTTTAAAATTGGTAGCGACAGGAGACCATAATCAGGAGAGAGCCACCCTTGTGCCCTTGCAATGGATTTTTCACAGACCAATTTATTTTTAGATCGATTTCCCGTGAATATTGAATATCAAATAAGTCTTAAAAATCAGTGATCAGAACCCGTAGACTGGAAAATAGTATCGAAAGCATTTACTTCTCCTTTTTTGTAATTTTCGTACTATAGATGCGCATACATACGAAACGGTACTTGCATTTTCGCAGGGGAAAGAGCTCCAAAACGATGCTAAAAATAATGTGATCTTTGAAAACGCCGTTACATAGGCTAAGTATGGGAGTTGCACGCTCCCAGTAACGAGCAGAGAAGATCGGCTAACGTGGTACAAAATAAGTTACCGTTTTCCTAGTTTTCTTAAGATGGAGCATATCACAATAAGGGGAAGGAGAACGCGCTCTTTGTTTGATCGTCCCAACGTCTTTTGTGCCGTGGATGCACTTTCCTCAGTCTGTTCATCTGTTTGCACCGTTTCTCAACTTAGCTCAGAAAATCTGTATGAAACTTGCTGAAAATCCCAATAATTAATTCCCAGCAAGAAAAATCCGTCTTCCAATCGCAAAAATTAGTACCCGTCAAAACACACGATACTTAATGTGAGAACTGAAGTGCCGAAAAATTTACTCAGTGCCACATGGTATTATGAAATAGGTTGTTAGAATTTAAAATTTAAAATTGAAATTGTTAGCCTGAAGAAACAGCCGCATTTCGCGACGCTACCACTGGTTTCCCCGCGAAATGACGTCTGAAAAACGAGCGTAGAAAAAATGACGTGGCACTACTCAGATCTTCTGCCTCGTACGCAGACGCCTCTCTCT